ACATCTGCTCACTCTCTCAGGACCCAAGGAGAGAGATTATCTATGCCCCCCTGCCTTCGAGGTATGTAGTTCCCCAAGCAGTTTCTTCGCCTCCTCCTCGGATGTGTGCAGTGTGTCCAGCACCTGCTGGTGCACCCTACCACCTCTGTTTGCTGGAAGCCTCTCTGTCTCCAATGTGAATACCTCCCTGGTCTTACCCTGTGAGCTTCCCTCCTCCTTTCCTGATCACCTGATCCTTGACTATTGTTATCCTCCTGATGTGGCTGTATAACAACTTTGGGTCAGATTTGGCTTTTGATGCTATGTCATTCTCATTGATACTGGGTTTCTCTCCTTATCCAGACTTATTAATTTCTGGCTCTTTGGCTCAACTCCCTGTTTTCCCGGGTTCTTTGCCTTCTATAATTTTTCCATACTCTAGCACACTTGGCTTTGGCCTCTCCACACCTGGTAAACTATGGGCTCACTCTGGTCTTCCCGTTGTTTCTGTTGCCCCTTGGTACGAACCTCTCCACTGCCTCCCTGAACTTTGTGGTCACGTGTTCAATCATTTTGTTTACTGTTTTTCCCCTCTAGCTTGCTTACCCACTGCACCTCATGTAGAAATTGCCTCATACTTGTGTAGTCCCATTTTTGAAGGTTTAGCTTCTCCAGTCCTTCTTGTGCTGCTTCACTCTCCATTATTAATTCTATGTATTTGAAACTCAAGACCACATGATGGCTAGTGCCAAGGGGCCTTTCGTGTGTGATATCTCCTATGTCTGAACTGCTCAAGGTGAGTATGAGGTCTAGCCTTGCTGGTTCATCATCATCTCTCTCTCTGGTTGTGTCCTTAACGTGTTGGTACATGAAGCTTTCCAGTACTGCTTCCAGCATGTTGGCTCCCCACATATACTCCCCACGTGGCTCCAGATTCTCCCAGTCAATCTCCTCATGGCTGAAATCCCCCATGATAAATAGCTTTGCCCTCTCACATGGGCCCTTCTGGCAACCTCGGCTAGTGTGTCCACTGTTGCTCTCTTTGTATTCCTGTATTGGCCTCCTGCTGTTTAGTGGCAAGTTGTACTTCATTTTTTATAAACATTTTGGGGGGCCCCCAGTAGGGAAGTTTTCCCTACTATGTGGTCACCCATTTACCCCTCTGAAAAAGCCCTCCCTTTCTAAAAACTCCCTTGGGGTGAGGGGGGGGTTTGTATCCCCTTGTTGGGGGTTGCAGGGGTCGTTTCCCACAGCCCCTGATCCTGTTTTTGCGGGGCCCCTTTATAAGCCCCCCCCCCCCCTCTCTCCCTTCTCATGCGTTTTATGGGAACCTTTCTTAGAGCTATGTTGGATCTGCCTCCATTTTACCCTCTCTCCAAAATTGCCCCACTTCCTGAAAATTTTAAAATAAATGAAGATAAATACTTCCTAACACCCCGTGACTCATCTGGTTTTCAATTTCCCAGGCATGCCCCCTTGTTGCTGTGTCCTAATCTCTGAAACATTCTTCGCTTTTAAATTATCTCAATTTTTTTCTTTTTTTATATGTCGTTAGCAGGCCCCCCAAACCTTCCCGTGTCGCGGTTTGTTTTCCCCTTTAAATCTCCCCTCGTGGGGCAAAACCCTAGCTTTTGGGAAATTGGGCCCGGTGTGGGTTCCATACTGGGGGCCGTATTCTCCAATATGGGCAAAGACATAAACAAGCCCTAGTGTCTTGAATGACTCCTTTCTTAGTTTCTGGAAAAAATATTCTCAGGTTTGCCCGGGCCCACATTCTGCAGCCCGTTAAATTGGCTGGTGTGCGCCTCAGGAAAATGTGCTTTGGTTGATTTCCCCAGGATCCTTTTAAAAAATATGAAGGGTTTTCAGCCTTTTTACTCCCCAGCCACCTCCCCCTGCGTCTTTGACCTTCCCCCAAACTTTTGACTCTGCACTTGGTTGGGTTACCCTCCGGAGCCCGTGATTGGGGGTAGGCCTGTTTCCCGATCCTCTTTCCCTTTGATTTTTTCCGTATTAGCTTCACATAGTCTGCAAAAACAGGGTACCCCTTTAAATTTTTCCTTCCCTATGTCATTCACTTTATCAGAAAAAAGGGACCTGCCCCAGGGGTGGCCCTTTTTTGGAAACCCCAGCTCGTCCAGGGGGCCCAAAAATCTTTACATACCCCTCACTCGGGTTTTCTTTCCGGGTCCAAATTTCAAAGCCTTTCCTGTTTTTTCCCGCCCGCTTTTCTAGCTTTTTTTTTTTCGGGAAAACCTTTGTACTGTCCAAGGGAAAAAGGTTTATCCACCCCCCTTTTTCTCCTGTGTGTTGGGGGGGGGGAGGGGGGGGCTGCTGTTGCTGCTGATTTCCAAAACCACTTCAAGGGGTTTATATGGTGTGCATTCAGGATGGGTCTTTTGCAAAACCTCTGTTTTAAGGAGTTCTGTCGCCTTTTATGGCAGCTTGAAAAAAATTCTGGCCCTTTTTCCTCTGACCTCTTTCACTAGCAAGGCATTTTCGCCCACAGAATTGCCGCTCACTGATATTTGTGTTTTTAACATAATTTCTGTAAATTCTATAGACTTGTACATGAAAATCCCAGATCGTAGATGAATGGTTCACAGAACCAACACGTTGATAAATTAGACACATGTGCAACTTACGAATTTATTAACTTTTTTCACTAAGGTATTTGAGGAGGTAGATCATGGTAATGAATATGATATTGTGTATATGGACTTCAGTAAGGCTTTTGACAGGGTCCCACATCAGAGACTATTGAGGAAAATTAAAGCACATGGAATAGGAGGAGAAATTTTTTCCTGGATAGAGGCATGGTTGACAAATAGGCAGCAGAGAGTTTGCATAAATGGGGAGAAATCAGAGTGGGGAAGTGTCACGAGCGGTGTTCCACAGGGGTCTGTGTTGGGCCCCCTGCTGTTCACAATCTACATAAACGACTAGATGAGGGCATAAAGAGCGACATCGGCAAGTTTGCCGATGACACCAAAATAGGCCGTCGAATTCATTCTGACGAGGACATTCGAGCACTCCAGGAAGATTTGAATAGATGATGCAGTGGTCGGAGAAGTGGCAGATGCAGTTTATATAGACAAATGCAAAGTTCTAAATGTTGGACAGGACAATAACCATGCCACATATAAACTAAATAATGTAGATCTTAATATTACGGATTGCGAAAAGATTTAGGAGTTCAGGTTAGCAGTGATCTGAAACCCAAGACAACAGTGCATAAGTGTTCGCAATAAAGCTAATAGAATCCTTGGCTTCATATCAAGAAGCATAAATAATAGGAGTCCTCAGGTTGTTCTTAACTCTATACATCCTTGGTTAGGCCTCATTAGATTATGCTGCACAGTTTTGGTCACCTTATTACAGAATGGATATAAATTCTCTGGAAAATGTACAAAGGAGGATGACAAAGTTGATCCCATGTATCAGAAACCTTCCCTATGAGGATAGACTAAGGGCCCTGAATCTGCACTCTCTAGAAAGACGTAGAATTAGGGGGGATATGATTGAGGTGTATAAATGGAAGACAGGAATAAATAAAGGGGATGTAAATAGTGTGCTGAAAATATCTAGCCTAGACAGGACTCGCAGCAATGGTTTTAAGTTGGAAAATTCAGATTCAGGAAGGATATAGGAAAGTACTGGTTTGGTAATAGAGTTGTGGATGAGTGGAACAAACTCCCAAGTACAGTTATAGAGGCCAGAACGTTGTGTAGCTTTAAAAATAGGTTGGATAAATACATGAGTGGATGTGGGTGGGTGTGAGTTAGACCTGATAGCTTGTGCTACCAGGTCGGTTGCCGTGTTCCTCCCTTAAGTCAATGTGACCTGACCTGACTAGGTTGGGTGCATTGGCTTAAGCCGGTAGGAGACTTGGACCTGCCTCGCATGGGCCAGTAGGCCTTCTGCAGTGTTCCTTCGTTCTTATGTTCTTATGTTCTTAACTCTTGGGTATCTTTATTAAGGAAACTTTTCGCCACACACTGGCTTCATCAGTCCATACATAGGAGAAGCTTGAAGAATAGGAGGAGAATGAGGTAATCAGTCCCTCAACCTTGAGTCGATGTGGTCAGTCCATCAATCTTGAGTAGATTGATGGACTGATGAAGCCAGTGTGTGGCGAAAAGTTTCCTTAATAAAGATACCCAAGAGTTGCATGTGTGTCTAATTTATCAAAATCCCAGATCACCAGTTTCTGAGATACTCTAACCACCTCGTCTGGCACCAACAATCATTTCATGGTCAAAGTCACTTATATCACATTTCTTCCTCACTATACTGTTTGGTCTGAACAACCGAACCTCTCGGCCATGTTTGCATGCTTCTAGGCACTAAGGTGCTGCCACGTGATTGGCTGATTAGATATTTGCTTTAACGAGGCGTACCTAAGGAAGGAGAGAGAGAGAGAGAGAGAGAGAGAGAGAGAGAGAGAGAGAGAGAGAGAGAGAGAGAGAGAGAGAGAGAGAGAGAGAGGAGAGAGAGAGAGGGAGGGGAGAGAGGAGAGAGAGGAGAGAGAGAGGGGAGGAGAGAGAGAGAGAGGAGAGAGAGAGAGAGAGGAGAGAGAGAGAGGAGAGAGAGGAGAGAGAGAGAGGAGAGAGAGAGAGAGAGAGAGAGAGAGAGAGAGAGAGAGAGAGAGAGAGAGAGAGGGGAGAGAGAGGGGAGAGAGAGGAGCCCACAGATGGCTCCAACTTCATCCTGTTCCCTACTTGTATGTCTCATAACAATAAAAATGCTTTCAAATGAGCTGATGTAGGTAACAGCTCTTAGCTTGCCAATAAAGTTAGGAATCCTTAACCTGTAAATAGCTGTCAATAAAGCTAGGGATCCTTAACCTTGTCAAACCCTGTGTAAAAAAGAGAGAGAGAGAGAGAGAGAGAGGAGAGAGAAGAGAGAGGAGAGAGAGAGGAGAGAGGAGAGGGGAGAGAGAGGAGAAGAGAGAGAGAGAGAGAGAGAGAGAGAGAAATAACAGAAAGGGGGGGGGGTTAAAGGGAGTGAATACAACTCACCGTGAGGGACTCCCGCTTGCGGCCGCTGGTGATAAAGCTGAAGCCCTGAGTCTCGATGGCCACGCCCGTTCTCTGCACATGCTCCTCGATGTACCTGCACAACATAAACCATCAGTCACTACCCGCCTCACGATACCAACAATAAATTAACACAAAAGGAAAAAACCGTCATTTCTCAATTATACTTATTTATTTTTCATACTGGGGTTCCATACGAGACAATCAATGCGCTTCTCGTCTACTATCCATGTGCGTCACTCGTCCAGCTACTGGTCAGACCGGAGCTGGATTAAGATTTTGAAGGCCCCTGGGCTACAGGTACCTGAGAGCCACCCAGTGATATTTTCAAAAGGATAAAAAATTAATCACAACATACTATAATTATAAACTTACAGCAGTAACTGTGAACACTTTTCACTTAATCTCTGGAGAACCTTCAACTCGCGGACGCCCCTGGGGTGCAGCCCCTAAAGCCTATTCCTTAATCCGGCCCTCGTCCAGACCCAACGGTGCTGAACCCACTAAACCTGGTTCTAATTAATGACAAAAGACCGCCGTTTCTTCCTCATTACAGACATTATCAAAACACCAACAGAAAACAATCAACTAAATACTTGCTTCCAAAGCCATATTTTAAATTTGAAGATGTTTTGTGCTCTACCTTGAATTCACAATTTTCAATACCTGTATACAGAATACAGCCTCTTTATTTATGCCTTTCACCCAGTTTAAACATAATTCCATAACTCATTCAATGACTTTAGTATGTAAGAAAAAGGTAACAATGTAGAAGGTCCAGGTTGAGTGAGAGCAGGAGCTGCTCTTACCCATCTTTTCCAATATTTGTTTTTAATCTACCCAACTCATTTTTAAAGCACCCAAGCATTTGCTCCAATGACATTATTTGTAGTTTGTTTCACTCGTGTACATCTGCTGCTAAACCAAATACTTGGAGAACTCCAGGACGATAATAAACTATGCACGATTAGGGTCACAAGTGACATGGTCCTTAGGCAAATACATAAACTGAAACCTAACAAATCCCCAGGCCTTGATGAACTGTTTGCAAGGGCTCTAAAGGAATGTAAAGAGGAGCTTAGTAAACCTTTGGCTAATCTTTTCAACATATCACTACAAACTGGCATGGTGCCAGATAAGTGGAAAATGGCAAATGTGATACCTATTTTCAAAGCAGGTGACAGGTCCTTAGCTTCGAACTATAGACCAATAAGCTTAACCTCCATAGCGGGAAAATTTATGGAATCAATAACTGCCGGGGCACTACATAGCCACCTTGAAAAGCATATATTAATGCTCTGGAAAACGCACAAATGAGGATGACAAAGTTGATCACATGTATCAGAAACCTTCCCTGTGAGGATAGACTGAGGGCCCTGAATCTGCACTCTCTAGAAAGGCGTAGAATTAGGAGGGGATATGGAGGTGTATAAATGAAAGACAGGAATAAATAAAGGGGATGTAAATAGCGTGCTGAAAATATCTAGCCTAGACAGGACTCGCAGCAATGGTTTTAGTTGGAAAAATTCAAATTCGGGAAGGATATAGGAATGCACTGGTTTGGTAATAGAGTTATGGATGAGTGGAACAAACTCCCGAGTACCGTCATAGAAGCTAAGATGTGTAGTTTTAAAAATAGGTTAGATAAATACATGAGTGGGTGTGGGTGGGTGTGAGTTGGACCTGATTAGCTTGTGCTACTGAGTCAGTTGCCGTGTTCCTTCCTTAAGTGAATGTGACCTGACCTGACTAGGTTGGGTGCATTGGCTTAAGCCGGTAGGAGACTTGGACCTGCCTCGCATGAGCCAGTAGGCCTGCTGCAGTGTTCTTTCTTTATATTCTTATGAAACGTAGTCTCAATATGGGTCTCCACACTGCCAAAGTGTATTTTTATTAGCTCGTCGTTTTAACTCTCATTCCCATAGCCTATGTAATGTGAGCTGTGAAAGTTAAGACACATGTGCAACATCTGGATATCTTTATTGTAGACGTTTCGCCATCCAGTGGCTTTATCAATACAGATTCTATGACATAATTGGAAGACAGTAGAACTATATACAAAAGATGAGGTAATCAGTCCCTCAGCCTTGGAGTTAGTGTTCACAGCATCGTGGTGGAGGAGAATCTGGAGATTCAGATTCAGATTCAGATCCAGATTCTCCTCCACCACGATGCTGTGAACACTAACTCCAAGGCTGAGGGACTGATTACCTCTCTTTTGTATATAGTTCTACTGTCTTCCAATTATGTCCAAGAATCTGTATTGATAAAGCCATTGGATGGCGAAACGTCTACAATAAAGATATCCAGAACATAAGAACATAAGAACATAAGAACGAAGGAACACTGCAGAAGGCCTACTGGCCCATGCGGGAGGTCCAAGGTCTCCTACCGGCTTAAGCCAATGCCCCCCAACCTAGTCAGGTCAGGTCACATTGACTTAAGGGAGGAACACGGCAACCGACCTGTTAGCACAAGCTATCAGGTCTAACTCACACCCACCCACATCTACTCATGTATTTATCCAACCTATTTTTAAAGCTACACAACGTTCTGGCCTCTATAACGGTACTTGGGAGTTTGTTCCACTCATCCACAACTCTTTTTACCAAACCAGTACTTTCCTATATCCTTCCTGAATCTGAATTTTTCCAACTTAAAACCATTGCTGCGAGTCCTGTCTAGGCTAGATATTTTCAGCACACTATTTACATCCCCTTTTTTTTATTCCTGTCTTCCATTTATACACCTCAATCAATCCCCCCTAATTCTACGTCTTTCTAGAGAGTGCAGTTTCAGGGCCTTAGTCTATTCCTCTTAGGGAAGGTTTCTGATACATGGGATCATCTTTGTCCCTCCTCCTTTTTACATTTTCCAGAGAATTTATATCCATTCTGTAATACGGTGACCAAAACTGTGCAGCATAATCTAAATGAGGCCTAACCAAGGATGTATAGAGTTGAAGAACACCTGAGGACTCCCATTATTTTGCTTCTTGATATGAAGCCAAGGATTCTATTAGCTTTAAATTTCGAACACCTTATGCACTGTTGTCTTGGTTTCAGATACTGCTAACCAGAAAATCCTAAATCTTTTTCGCAATCCGTAATATTAAGATCTACATTATTTAGTTTATATGTGGCATGGTTATTGTCCTGTCCAAAATTTAGAACTTTGCATTTGTCTATATTAAAAATGCATCTGCCACTTCTCCCACCACTGCATCAGTCTTTCAAATCTTCCTGGAGTGCTCGAATGTCCTCGTCAGAATGAATTCGACGGCCTATTTTGGTGTCATCGGCAAATTTCGATGTCGCTCTTTATGCCCTCATCTATGTCGTTTATGTAGATTGTGAACAGCAGGGGGCCCAACACTGACCCCTGTGGAACACCGCTGTGACGCTTCCCCACTCTGATTTCTCCCCCTTTATGCAAACTTTTCTGCTGCCTATTTGTCACCATGCCTTATCCAGGAAAAATTTTTTCCTCCTATTCCATGTGCTTTAATTTTCCTCAATAGTCTCTGATGTGGGACCCCGTCAAAAGCCTTACTGAAGTCCATATACACAATATCATATTCATTACCATTGATCTACCTCCTCAAATACCTTAGTGAAAAAAGTTAATAAATTCGTTTAAAGGGAGGAACGCCCCTTTGTAAAACCATGCTGAGGATTCGTTGATTAATTTATGCTTTTCAAGATGGCTACGAACTGCCTCGGCAATTATTGATTCCATAAATTTTCCCACTATGGAGGTTAGGCTTATTTTGGGCTATAGTTCGAAGCTAAGGCCCGTCACCTGTTTTGAAAATAGGTATCACATTTGCCATTTTCCACTTATCTGGCACCATGCCAGTTTGTAGTGATATGTTGAAAAGATTAGCCAAAGGTGTGCTAAGCTCCTCTTTACATTCCTTTAGAACCCTTGCATACAGTTCATCAGGGCCTGGGGATTTGTTAGGTTTTAATTTATCTATTTGCTAAGGACCATGTCACTTGTGACCCTAATAGTGCACAGTTTATTATCGTCCTGTTCTACATAATTTATCATTACTGGAATATCGCTGGTATCCTCCTGTGTAAAAAACTGAGAGGAAGTATGTGTTAAAAATTCTACACATTTCCTTATCACTGTCAGTGAGCTGACCGGAGGAACTTTTGAGTGGGCCTATCTTGTCCCTGATCTTACTTCTGTATACCTGAAAGAATCCTTTTGGGTTAGTCTTCGATTCTTTTGCAACTTTAACCTATAATCTCTTTTTGCTTTTCTAATTCCCTTTTTTATTTCTCTCTTTTAACTGAATATATCGATTTCTTAATTGCCCTCTCTCTTTTGATTTGCCTATATATGCCTCTCTTTTTGACCAATCAGATATTTTAATCTATTGTTCATCCATTTAGGATAATTTTTGTTTGATCTGATTTCCCTATTTGGAACATAACTTGACTGAGCAGCTAGAACTATGCCTGGAAAGCATCATATCGGCAACCATCACCACCTACCTGACCCTTAGTCAGGTCATTCCAGTTCAGCCCACCTAAGTAATTTTTCAGTCCTATGAAATCAGCAAAGCGAAAGTCAGGGACGGAGACTTGATTGCCATTATTAGGGGAATTCCATGATATATTAAAACTGAGTGATTTGTGATCACTTTCCCAAGCTCATCATTAACCTCAGATTATTAATTAGTGTTTCCCTACTGGCAAGAACCAAGTCAAGGAGGTTATTTCCCCTAGTTGGCTCTGTCACAAACTGTTTTAAAAAACAATCCTGGATCGTGTCAAGAAAGTCACCCGACTCTAAATTTCCTGTCAAATTGCTCCAGTCAATCTGTCTATAGTTGAAATCTCCCATTAGCACAACATTTTCGTATGTAGATGCCTTACGAATATGTTGCACATGTGTCTTAACTTTCATATTATCGGTATTTTATACCTTTCTTGCACAATGTGAGCTGTGTTTCCGCATGCTTCTGGTAACCCACTATTGTAAGTGATTGTCACTGTAGTGTACCCAGTGTCTTACTGTATAAATATCTTAAGTCTTCAGACCGGGTCGAGTTTTACTCCTTGG